GTAGTTGCCACCCATCAGTACTTTAAGGCTCTCAGATGAAAATAGTAGCTCAGTAAAAATATTTAGGTTTTATTATTGGTTATTGGTCTTTGTTTCATTTATGCAACAGCTGGTGAAAAGTTGAAGCTAAAGTAGTTTTGTTTTTTTTACTTCAGAATCAGATCAAGTCCATCTTCATTGGCTAGAAAACGTCTTGCTGCTGCTACTTTTTTCTCCATCTTAGACTACGGAACCATGATTTATATACTTGCATGCATCTCACTGGTGGCTTACGTTGGACTCAGTATCTCCTGGAGCCCTTACCCGCCCCATCTTCTATATACCCACATTGGATGGATTCCCTTATCCAACCACAGATTATGTCATTGGTATAATCTTATAGAAAGGCCGTCTTTGGCTTTTATCTCTCTTATCTCCTGTCCTATATTGTTAAGAAGTCCTAAGGAGGTTTTTCGCCGCCTTTTGGATTATATATTTTATTAAATGTACCTAAGGTTTGTACAAATTATGGAGAAAAACAAAATAACAAAAAACACAAAAATCTTTTCAGTTTGTTCTCAGACTGGAATCAACTTCAGAAAGACAAAGTTAAAGTAGTTATAGATTTATGTGTTTTTATTTTATTTTTAAATTGTGCTCTGATAGCTGATTTTATGATTGTTAATGTTTGTGTGCTGCCGCCATTCTTGGCCAGGTGGTCTCTCTTGAGAAAGAGATTAAAGTATTTTTATAAAACTATAAACAGATGTCACTTTTAAATGAGTCTTTGAGGCTCATTGTGATTTATGTCTAAATAAAGGTTGAATTGAATTGAAATTGAAAATACAAAGTGCCGACAGGTCCATGCTTCTCAGATTTCAAAGATTTAGAACACAAGTAAAATAAACTCATCTGGGTTTAGATGTCAATCAGACAAAGTAAACATGAAGGACATCAACCAGGAAAATGGTAAAGAGTTTGTTCAGGCACTGGACCAAATGTTGATGGAATGCATATCGCCCGCTGCCTTTCATGCCAGAGTTTTGGATCATCTAATGTTGAGAACCTAACGAGCTGCAGGTGTACAACCAATCATTTTGTTCTGCAAGTTTCATTAAAATGAGCAGCACAGGGGCTCCTCAGGGCACGGTCCTCTCACCGTTTCTGTTCACCCTCTACACTTCAGACTTCAGGTCCAACTCACAATCCTGCATCTGCAGAAGTTCTGGATGACTCTGCCATTGTGGGCTGCACCACTGGTGACCAGGAAGCTGAATGCAGAGGTGGTGGACAGAACCAGCTGCAAGTCAACGCTGGAAAACCTAAAGAGCTGCAGGTGGACTACAGGAAGAAGATCAGCCCCCCAACCCTATCAACATCAAGGGTACTAAGGTGGACACTGTGGACTGCTACAAGTACCTGGGGGTTCACCTAGACAATAAACTGGACTGACGGCTAACACCAACACTCTCTACAAGAAAGAGCAGAGTCGCCTTTTTCTTCTGAGACTAAGGTCCTTTAACATCTGCAGGACCATGCTGCAGATGTTTTACCACTCTGTGGTCTCCAGCGTCTTCTTCTACACTGTGGTGTGCTGGAGCAGCAGGATGAAGAAAGCTGATGCCAAAAGTCTCAATAAGTTCATCAAGAGAGCTGGTTCAGTTCTGGGAGTGGACCTGCAGTCTCTAACAGAGGTGTCTGAGCAGAGGATGCTGAGGAACCTGCTCCAGATCCTGAACAACACGTCACACCCCCTGCATGACACCCTGGACTCTTCCTGCAGCACCTTCAGTCGTAGACTGAGACCACCGAGGTGCTCCACAGAACATCACGGGAAGTTCTTCAAACTGTTCAACTCCTCCCCCGTTCAACACATAGGACAATAAAACTAATCCTGCACCACAATAAACACTTTAATGTTTTTGTCTGCACCTGTTTAGGACTTAATTGTTGGCATTTTTTATATTCTCTGTTATTTTTATATCTTCTGACTCTTGTGTATGCTCCTTTGTACTGAAACTCTGGCACAATAATTTCCTGCGGGATCAATAAAGTTCTATATCATCTTAAAATCAATTCAGTGGGTAGTGAAACATTTTGCTAACGGACAGCTTTGAAAGTCCTGATAAAGCTTGTTGTATATTTTAGTGCGTCTCAAAGTTGACCTCAGTGAGATGGCAGCAGTATCTGCGCATCCTTTCAGAAAATAGTTTTATTTTTAAAAGCAGCTTTATCTGCTTCAGTGGGTGTGCAAGCACCAGCTGCCGGTACAACACACTCCGAGTGTGTGACAGTGAGAATAATAGCCGTGTCAAATCCACCGGGGCTCTGGCGCGTTAACGTTCCTCTGATGTGTGACAACAGCCAAGGTGACGAGCAACCCGCCACAAAGCCGACAGATAAAACCCTGGCGTCAGAGGGAACGGATGATTTGAACAGGGTGACTCTGCACTTACTGACACATTTGTTCAACATGAAAACGTTTACGAAAACAACTTAAAGACGTTTGGATGACGGGACCTCTGAAAGACAGGAAATCAACCGATAAGTTAAAAGAGGCAGGCTATAAAAATCAAACTGTGCTTTTAAACACCGCTGTCGGTGAATTCATCTTCAGTGGAAGCCTGAACAGAGGTTTTACTAAATTACATCCACAACAAAACTACAACGTGTTTTTTTCTGTGTAATGTCCGTCTGGTATGGTGGGGGTGTTTGGTGGGGGTGTCTCTGCCTCAGGTGGAGTTCAATTTCTGGGCGTGATGGTAGGATGGAACGGGAGACGGATCAACAGATCGGGGCCTCGTCCTCAGTACTGAGAGTGTTGCTTTGGTCGCTTTTGGTGAAGAAAGTGTTGAGTCGAAAGGCAAAGCTCTGGATTTACTGGTCTGTCTCATTCCAACCCTCATGTAACCATGGAGATGGATCATGACCAAAAGACCTGGATCCAAGCTTCCTCAGTTTCCTTCGTAAGGTGGCCAGGCTCAGCCTCAGAGAGGGTGAGGAGCTCCACCATCCAAGGGGAGCTCGGAGTAGAGCGACTGCTCCTCTGCAGCCAAAGGAGTCAGTTGAGGTGGTTCGTCTAATTAGAATGTCTCCTGGATGCTTCCTTATGGAGGTTGTCTGGGTGCATCTTATTTGGAAGAGGCCCCAGGGCGAACCTAGAACTTCCTGGAGAGATTATAGATCCTCTCTGGTCTGGAAACATGTTGGGGTCCCTCAGGAGGAGCTGGAGTGTCACTGGGGAGAGGGAGGTCTGGGTTTCTGTCCTGAACTTGTTGCCTCTGCGACCGGACTACAGGTAGAAGATGAAGCCACTTTTTAAACTACGATATTTGTTATTTCTCATCACCAAAAGGTGAAGGTGGACGATGATATTTTTTGTGGTAATAGCTGAGAGTTATTCACAACACACACTCTGAAGTCTCTTACATTATCGTGCATACCATCATTTATAAGGTTTGCTCAAAACAGCCGACTCTTTTATTTCTCAAGATAATCTATTCAGTTCAATTCATTTCTGTTTATGTGGTGAACACAACATAAATCATCTCAGAGCACTGAACATCTACTTACATTATAAATGTCAATTAGTTACGTTATAAAGAAGGAAGCCTCTGGCATGAAAGGAGGCGGGTGATATGCATTCATCAAGGGATTGCAAGGCGGTTAATAGAAAGATTTTTTTCAGACTCCCGTGTCGTAGTTGTTCCCTCGCCTGTCTGACTCCATTTTCTTGAAGTCAGTGAAATGAACCGAACCACGAGCGTGTGGGATCCAAGCGACGACACAAAGAGGACGGAAACGGTTCTGTGATCATCTGATTCTTTCTCCAACTGTTCGACCACCAAGTCCTCGCTAACAGGGGGACTATTCTATTTGACGGGGGGAACAATGACAGAAACCACATAATTAGGTTTTAGTATCACAGAAAAAAGAACACACCGTAGAGACTAATCCTGAAGAAGCTTAATTGTTTCCCAGGAAACAGCCCCCTCTCTGAGACGACGACTGTGAAACATCCGCGAGCAATTATTCCACTTTCACTTATGTCCTGAAGCTAAATCCTCCCCGTGAGCTTACCTAGTGTTTTGGAGGGAGGGGGGGTTAAAATAAAGAACTGTAGAGTCCTCGAGGAAACAACAACATCTCTTTTAGCCTCTGGTGGAATAAGAAAAAGGAGCTGTGAGCTGGAATGAAAAGGTTAGCTCAATGTTTATCGTTAATGATGGCGGGGTTCTGACGAGAGCCAGCAGGGGTGATTAATTCATGCAATAAACACGGCTGTCTGGGGCGCAGTCATTTTAATCGCCAGATGAGTCATACAAAGCCGTTTGCCTTAATAATTTTAAGCAGGTGCCAATGACCGAAGATCTAAAAAGATTGGCGTCTCCCGCAAGTGTCCTCAACAAAGAGCAGCGTCCATTTTCTTTCTTAATTAGCAGCAGAGTGCGAACGCAGACAGTAATTGTTGAGCTCCGCTAAACGGAGCTAGGATCAATGCCGCAGTGTCAGTTTGCGTTTAGGTTAATAAAGACAACCCCCCCACCACCCCCACCCAGAGTAAAAAACACCCCAGAGGTTCGTCTTTTGTCACGTCCATGGAGAGCGGTGCACATGTGGCGTGCCGCTCCACCGTCTCTCCTCCTCAAAGAGGGCTCAGAGCCGCAACGATCGCACACAATAACCATTGTCCGGGTAAATCCCCCGACACGGCGAGGTGGAGGGAGGGGGGCGTCCAAACAGGTTTCACTGCCACTCGTTTCCCAGACGTTTCAGAGGAACTGTGCTACTTTGATGTAACAGGCTCGATTGAAGCTGCAGCAGCAACAATGTAAGAAAGAGCTGCAGCCGCCGTAATTCACCTGAGATTACCCTCTCCCCCTCAAACAACACAGAAACAAAACCGTGTCCACTACAGCTTCCATGTTTATTTCCAGCGCTGCCTTCCACCGCAGACATCCATTAAAGCTTCTGCACTTTAACTGAATCGCTTCAAACGTACGATTAGTGGTGCTCCTTACCTGCAGTTCGGAGGGGGGTCTAGTGTTATCTCTGCGAGCTCTTTCTGAATCCTGAAAGGCAAAGATTTCATTGTTTTAGTTTAAAACTGAAAAGACAACATTGTACTACAGTCAAGAATGTGAAGATGAAACGTGCAGCATAAATCTGACACCGAGTGAAAAAACGGATTATTTATGATTCCAAGTAGAACGAAGGATGTAAATAATGTGCGGCTGCAAAGGAAGCGGAAGGAAAACGTGCTCGGACCGTGACAAACTGATCAACGTCAGCACCTCTGATGATCCGTCAGAGAGAATAGTTTTAGTCAACACCGTTTTTATGACTTTAATTTTTAAAGGCCAAAGTGTAAAAGTTCTCTTTGTAATAAAAACGCTCCGTGTGGTTCAGACGGGCTGTCTGGCAGGTTTTCAACAGAACAAGTGTTTGGGGAAACTTTTAGACTCGTTTGATTTGAGTTGATGTGTCGAGTCGTGCTCCTCGTCCAGATCTGATTCCAGACCAGCTTCGATTTGTTTTCTGTTCAACCTTCTACCACTTCTTTAAAATAAAAAAAGATCTCGCTCTCCATTTTTGTCGCGTGTATCAGGAGAAACATCTTCATGTCTGACAATCTTTTCTTAAGTGTTGAAACCAATCTCAACTGGAGAACATCTGGACTACATTAAATGTGGTTCAACAGAATTACATTTTCAAAAACACACAAATGAAACGGACCTTAACAACAAAGAATGACACCCTTAACTTAAGTTACTTAAATTACTCAAGTTACTTAACATAAGTAATTTAAATAACTTCAGTCATTTTAAGTCAACCAAGAGGTTTCTGTGACTCAGACTTCTACACCTGTCCCCAGGTGTTCTGGTCCCCCTGTCCCCAGGTGTTCTGGTCCCCCTGTCCCCAGGTGTTCTGGTCAGTCAGCCAGCAGGTGTTCTGGTCCACCTGCCTTTAAGTGTTCTGGTCCACCTGTCTTCAGGTGTTCTGGTCCACCTGTCCCCAAGTGTTCTGGTCCCCCTGTCCCCAGGTGTTCTGGTCCACCGGTCTTCAGTGTTCCAGTTCACTTCTCATGATCAAACAGCTCCAGTTGTTTCAGGTCTGAAGGTTCCTCCTCCAGATGTTTCAGCTCCTTCTACAGGTGTTCAACAGGATTTAGATCAGGGCTCAGAAGGACACTTCAGAACAGTCCAGTGTTTGGTTCTGGTCCATTCTTGGTGTTTTTAGCTGTGGGTTTGGGCCATGATCCTGTTGGAGGACCCATGACCTGTGACTGAGACCAGGCTTTGTGACACTGAGCACTTTTTGATCCAGAACATCTTGATAGTCTTGAGATTTCATCGTACCCTGCACAGAGTCAGAACATCCGGTGTCAAATGCAGCAGCTCCAGAACAGAACCGAGCCTCCTCCGTGTTCCACTGCAGGTACAGAGTTCTTTGTAGGTTTCACCTTTGGGCCTGGACACAGAGCTGATGGGACTTATTGTCCTTAAAGCTCCAGTATTGTCCACATGTTCAGAGGACATCCTCCCACAAGCTGTTTTCATGACTTGCCGTCCTCTCTTGGGTCCAAGCAGTGACTGAGGGTGCATTCTGACAGTGATGGCCTTTGACCTTGGAGTTCACCTCTAATCTCTTTGGAAGTTCTTCTGGACTCTGTTTACCATTCGTACTACTTTTAGCCTTTAAACAGGCAGACTGAGTGATTACAGACTGAAGACACCTTGATGCTGATTACAGGACACACCTGAGTTTAACGTCTCTGGAGTCAAATTAGTTTCAGTCTTGTGTACAGGAACCTCCTTTTTGTCAAGGCCACTTCTTTTTTTTTCTTAAATAATTCTGTTGAACCACAAATGAAATGATTGATATTCATTTTTTTAATTATTGTTTGTTGCTTTTGTCCGTTTCAGGTCATTTCAGTAATCGTTGTTTTGTGGCTTCTTTAACAAAAAGGGTAAAAACTGATTTATACACGTCGTTTTATATGAAAAGTTCTATGTTCCACTGCTCCATTTTTAATCAACTTCTCTCTCTTTGAAAGGTAAAGTCATGCGACTGAAATAATTTTGAGCAGTTTGCTGTGAGTTTTACAAGAATATCCTTACGACGTGCTGAATATCCAGGTGTTTTCTCTTTAAATTAATACATAAACGACCAACGTTTTATTTATTTTCTCTCATGCTGAAGTAGGAACTCTAAACCAATAATTTGCACTTTAATTTGAAAATCTTTTACATTTTATTTTGTGGTATTTCATTGTTCAGATAAAGATAGTCATCAATCCCTACAACTTATTAATTCCAACAGCAAAAAGCAGCTGAAATGCAGACGATGCTTTTATTGATGTTAGTATAATGAGCATGTGACGGTCTTGGTGCTGAAGCTTCCTCAAATCTTTGAAGTGCGACACACACACACACAAAAAAAGAAAATATTCCCGGCGTCGGCCGACTCCTTACCCAGCCGGTTGCATAATTCTCTGGCCGCCTGTCTGTTTTTGAGGACGAGTGCTGCGGCGGGTGTAGCAGCTGAGGCGAGCGTTGCAGAGAACGAGGCGCATCCATTAAAACAAACGGGCCGGAGTAAGAATATCACTTTCAAACGACAGCGGTGACACTTCAGCGCCGAGCGCACGACTCCTCCTCCGTGTGTCACGCTGAACGGCGTGCATGTTTGAAATGACAGCGCCTGCGGGACTCGCGTCCTTTTATACGACGTCACACCCCCAGGCACAAACATAGAATGGAGTGGGGGGGGCTTCAGCAGAACAAACAGCTCCTGTGTTAATCCTGCTTTCCAAACTCAGATCCAGGCTCCCCCCACCCCCACCACCACCACCGACTCACCTCTTGGCACTGGTTGAAAGTTTAGCAGCGGTTTTACTGGAGATCTTGGTCTCCTTCTTTTTGGGCTGTGCTTGCTCTCGCTCCTGCTCGGGCGGTACCGTCTCCCTTTGTTCGATATCCGAGCTCCCCCCGCTCGTGCTGGGGCTGTCGTCCGGTCTCTGCACTTCGCTGCTGGACATCGTGGGCCCTGAAAAACATGGACAAACAGCCCGGTAAGGTCAAAACCATAGAGATGAGCAAACCTCTGTGACATTTTCTGCTCAGCTACCGGTTTCAAGGCAATCCCACGACTCGAGCCTCTACGTGGTTTCCAGGGATTCAAACGAGTGCTTTGTTGACACCGAGCGCGTACCCTCATGTCAAATAATATATCTGGAAAACGACTCGGGACAACCTTCTTCCATGCTTCGCAATGATTCATTTCCTTGTGCGAGTCGCAGGGCTTTGCTTTCACGTGACTAGATTTTAGTTCTACAGACCAGGACGACAAACTTAGTCACAGAATCGTCGCAGGCACCGGATCACGTCTCGATTCGGTTTCTGAGTCAGAAATGAGAAACAACTTTGAGGCGATCAGTAAAACCAAACTGTGACTGACCGAAGACAACAGAATAAATTGTGATTAAACTGAGTCATCATTAAGACACTTTTTGACTAATCTGAGATAAAAAAAAGAGATTTCACTAAATACCAAGAAGGTTGCAGGTTCAAAACCAGCCAATGTTGTTCTCTACGAAGTGTACATGTCCTCTACGTGCAGGCGAGGGTGTTCTCAAAGTACTTGGGGTTCCTCCCACAGAACAAAAACGTGCACGATAGAACTAAACTGTCCTTGTCTGAGTAAGGACCGTCTCTGCCATGTGTCCCTGTGTTGGACTGGCAACTTGTCCAGGGTGTCCCCCTTTCATCCTATGTCCCCTGGAGACAGGCACCAGCAGCCCTCAACTCTGCAAGGACAGGCGGGTAAGGAAAAATGAATATTTGGGTCTTAATCTGGAAGTGGATGAGCTAAAATTGATCAGAGATGAATGAACCAGCATCGCTCCAAGTTTGACATAATGTTTGGATTAGGAAATAAATCTTTGTTGAATATTTTGTAAAATAATCTTTATGTAGACTTTAAACGAGGCCCTGCTGGTGGTGCCTCTTTTTCTTGATCCTTGTGATCAACTTTGCCGCAGAAATAAAGTAGCTTTTTAAATCAGACTGTCCTAAAATGGCACCTCCGAATCAAACACCTTCCTCGAAGGAATGCATATCGCCCGCCTCCTTTGATACAACGATGAAACGATGGAGCCCTAACAAATTAAAAAAATAAAGGATTTATGCTTAATGTCACGCTCCGACTGTTGTGGATGACTCTCAGCTACTACCACATCAAATTTTAGCTCAACATCTGAATTGACTGAACTGTTTTGTGTTTTCTAATGTTGGTTGGCGGTGGTGGCCATATTGACTTGGACTGGGTCCAAACGGTGATTCCCTGCAGATGTAAATCCAACGATTATTCCAAAAGTTTCATTTAATCTAATGGTTCATCTGATATTTTGCTAACAGCCAGGCTCGACATCAATGGACATCAGTTTGCTGTCAGGGTGTGCATTAGGGATCAGTCTCAGCTACTACCACATCAAACTCCAGCTTGATTTCTGTGAAAACCTTCGCTCTGCTTCTTGAGGACGGCTGGCTGTGGCAGCCATCTTGAACCGTTTGAAGAGCTCCATTTAATTACCGAGTCATTAAAGTTTCATTACAGCCCGTCCAGTGGCTCGAGAGATATTTTGCTAACAGACAACGAGGCACACAGACAAAAGCACGACCTCAAATATGATTAATATACCAACAAAGTTTATTTTTAAAATATAAACTGACAAATCGTCAAATGAACAGCTTGATGAGCACCAACTGAAATCCTCGTTTATAAACAATAGAGCAGAAAAGTGTTCCTCTGTAAATGTAAATAAATTAATTAATATGTAAAATATAGAAGTCGGTCGATTAAATCCCTAAAAGCTAAGCGGGGGGGGGGGCAGGGTTCCCGGGGGGCGCTTCGTGGTTAACATCAACGGCTGAAATGAACCCGCTTCAAGCTCCAAGTGAGGACATGATCGCCCCCCCGGAGCTAAAAAATGACCGTCAGGGCGAGCCGGGAGAGCATGTTTGATCAGGCATCAGCTAGCTGCCGGCCGGGGGGGTGGGGGTGGGGGGAGACACACAAAAGAGGCTACCGAGTCCAGAACACGAAGCGGCCATAACCGTAGCTAACGTTACCAGGCCGGGGAGGGGAGGGGGGTAAAAGAAAAATAGACGAAGAAGAAGAAGAAGAAGCCGCACGCGCCCCCGGTTTGTTGTTAGCTAGCTGAAAAATACGCAGAGGGGGAGGCGGTTCTCTGCCGGAGCCACCGGAGAAGACGACGCGGCGGGGCTGATGGAGGACGGTCAACCGGGGGGAGGCGGGGAGAAAATGTGCCGACCCTCGCCGTTTGAGAGCAGCGGTGACCCTGGCTCGGCACAAAGGGAGGCTCGTCCCACACCGCCGCCGCCTCCTCTTCTTCTTCTTCGGAAGAAAAAAACGACACTTCTCCGCGGGACATTTTCTTACTTTTCGCGGAGGTTACGAGGCGCGGGGCTCGGCCTTACCTGGTGGCTGGCCGTCAATGCTGCTGGTCGGCGTCGTAATCCACTCGGTACCGGAAAAAAAAAAGTAAATCCTCACGCGGCCGCTCGCTCCCGTGTCCTCGCTATTTAACTGGAGGCAGCAGCAGAAAAGATTACAGACGAACCGAGCCTGCCGCGGACCGCCTCCACGCGCGCTCCCGCTCCTCGTGCTCGTGGACTGCATTGGTGGGAGAAGTGGGCCCGCGAGAGAACCTTCACGAGCCGAACCTGCTGAAGTACCGCAAAGAAGCAGCCGAAACAAAAACACGCTTTGCAGTCAAAATGTGTGTTCACATAACAGCAGCTAAATGTGGCGTTAGCGCCTCATGGCTGCTGAAACTAGCCGAAGAAGCTAAATATCAGCTAAAAAGAAGCCTTAGCTAAAAGCTAACAGCAAAATCAAAGTTAAACACAGTTGTTGAAGTAAAAAGAAAAAAACAAAGCACTGGCTAAACATAAAAATAAATAACAATGGATAAATGCTAAAAAGAACAAAGCACTAGCTAAAGTCAGTAGTTAAAGAAGCGGCACAATAGCTAAAAGCTAAAGTAAAAACAAAAACACTTGGTAAATTTTAGCAAGTCGTTTTGTTTACTTTTATTTTAGCATCTAAAATCTAAAAAAAAGCAAAAGATCAGCTAAAAGGTAAAAAAAAAAAAAAACACCAGCTAAAAACAACAAAACACTAGTTAAAAGCTAAAATGAACAAAACACCTAAAAGCAGTGGTTAAAGTAAAAAAAAAAAAGCAAGAAAACACCTGGACCATATAGACTTTTCTTGGCCTGTACACCTGGACTGTATAGACTACACCTAGACCATCAAAACTACACCTTGCCAACATAAAATACATGTGGACCATATAAACTACACCTGGACCATAGAAACTACACACTGACAACAGAAACTACTCATGGACCATGGAAACTACACCTGGACTGTAAAAACTACACCTAACCATATAAACTAAATCTGGACTATAGAAACTACACCTGAACCATAGAAACTACGCCTGGACCATAGAGACTACACCTGGGCCATATAAACTACACTTGGATGATAGAAAATATACCTGGACCATAGAAATCACACTTGGACCATAGAAAATACGCCTGGACTATTGAAACCACACCTGGACCATAGAAACCACACTTGGACAATATAAATTACATTTGGGCCAGATAAAATACACCTGGACCATAGAAACTACCATTGGACTATAGAAACTACACCTCAACCATGGAAACTACAACACCTCGGCCATATAAACTACACCTGGACCATAGAAAATACGCCTGGACTATTGAAACCACACCTGGACCATAGCAATCACACTTGGACAATATAAATTACACTTGGGCCAGAGAAAATACCTGGACCAAAGAAACTACCATTGGACTATAGAAACTACACATCAACCATGGAAACTACACCATGACCATGAAAACTACAACACCTCCGCCATAGAAAATACACCTGGACCATAGAAACTACACCCGGACCATAGAAACTATACTT